GTATCACTATTAACAAGTGAGGAGTAGGCTAAGAGTAGCAAAGTTAGCTTCCCATTTATACCTCTTTCTCAACAGTTTGAATTTGATTCTGTGGTTGACAAGCTCTACACAAAGTTGAGATAAATGTTAGTCTCTATGTCTAATATTCTGGGGATTTTCCCATGAGTTTACTATGAGGTCCACAAGATGATGAGGCTTTAACTCCCTTCTCAGACCACCATATATACACCTAGTTAGACAAACTGTTCTTCACCAGTTATCCAGTTAAGGGGAAGGTGATCACATTCCGAAGTAATTTACCCACTGGATACTAAAACCTTTATTGTTATTGAGATACTAAGACTGAGGAAATTTTTATCAGTAATAGTGTGGTTCACCCTCAACTTTAGTTAGGGTTCTGTCAAAATATTTTGAATTTTACACAGAAGACAGCTTCCTGAAAGTACACACAGAGGAAAAACACTTACAGAACGATTTTAGTTACTTAGATTTCAATGCCCTTTGTGCTTTACAGCTACCAGATCTGTTTCAGGCCTTATCCTGTACTGCTTGTATTATACATAACATACCATGCAACAACAGAATTTTGAAAGATGAAATGGCAATCTAAACATGATGGCTACAATAACAGATTTTACAGTCAGAATGCTATAGTTTTAATAACACTGAAACTTAATGCTAAGATAAATAAATAAATAAACAGTAGAAGGTAGTTCACCCTAAGACAATGATGAAAAGAAGCTGAATAAGCTGGATCGCTGTGTGGGAACTGCTGAGTCACGGCCTGAACCTCTGATTAATCACCTGAGACAAGCAATGAGTCAGCCAGGGGAGCACGGGTGAAAGCAATTCACCTGTGCTGCAGGAAGGGGTGGAGCCTGGCTTCACTTCTCCTAGACCTATTTAAGAGCTGACTACCAGTAGGGAAGGATCTCTCTTCTGAAGATCCACTCCATGGGAGTTTCCTGAGCAAGCCCACCATATGGGTAAGTGTCCTATCTATTCTCTTTGTCTTGCTTTGCCTAACTTATTCTTATTTCATTATTATAACATCTTAATGTTATTTGATTATACAATATCCTTTTATACAATATTCCTTGATTATACACTATCTTAATATTCTTTGATTATACAACCATACAACAGAATTGTGATACAATGAGCTAAAATACTAGAAAACTGTAATAGTTAAGTGAGTGCCTGAAAATTGTAGTGATTAAGACAGATGATTTTATGGTATGTATTCACATTCCTTATTCAAGGTTTTTAAAGGGATACAAAGCATATACAATAAACAGTAAGAAAAATCCTAGAGAGATCTATGTAGCCTGGTAATACTGTCCTCAATTATGACAAAAATGTGTATTTTGATCAAGAAAAATGTCTGCATATGTTGTATTTCTTCTTCTCCTACTAGTATTTAACTATTTCTAACACAAGGATTTTTTGAGTTAGATGTGGTTTTTATTTGTTAATTCTCAAATTTGTCTTGCAGCTTTTTCAGTCTCCCTTTAAGCTCATATAAGCTTTCAGCAGCTGAAACATGACTTGACTAAGAGTTCCAAAAAAACACTATTTGCTCATCCTGTCAGTGCTTATCATTAGCAAGAAGTCCAATGCAGTTGTATCACAAAAATGTGTGTGTAAGTAAGTGAAATTAACAATCATACCAAAACCATGGACTGCAATGGAATATTCATCCCTAGAACTCAAGATATATAGGACTTAATAGGTAGCAGCACCATCATACATGATGTCTCTTTTAACAAACTTACAGCTGCTTTTGAAGAACAATGATATAGGCTTCCCAGGCTAATAAAAAAATGTAAACCATTAGAAAGAATAAATAGTTTGTTAGATACTCAAAATTTACTTTGACTAATCCTAAAGTTTTAAGATTAAGGCTGTCAGGAAGAAAAACAAACAAACAAAAAACCACCCAAGAACACTTAATTCAAGAATCACATTTATAATACAAGGATATGATGGCATTACAATCTTTCCAAGCCACCTTTAATAACTTCTTGTGAGAATTCTTAAGAGATTCTTTTGGCGAGGTACTGGGCACGGAGCAGTCGCATTTCACACTGCAGAGTGAAGCTGCCTGAGTGGCAGCCATCAGAGCAGCTGCCAGATGCCACTGTGCTATGCGTGACAGCAGTGAACCAATGTTGAGGGGACAGAACCAGGAGCACCAGCGGATCCCCTGAGTGTATAAAACCTGCCGCTAGTGAGAGCTGCGAACAAGTTGAGCAAACAGGGCAAGATGCAGCAGTTTGCACGAGTAGTTCACGCAGGGTGTAGTATCTCTGCCCACTAGTAGACCGGTCACCTATCGGCTGCCTCCCTGACAACATATCTCACCATGGTTCTAGCAGGCAGAAAGGTCTAACATGAAAGACAGAAGCGACTCAGAGTCCCTGCCTAAACAAGTCGTGGTCCAAGTCTCTGACGGCAGCAAGTGCCTGAGTCTGTTGCTGCAAGAGAAGGAAGGCAGGTGGATGAGCTACTGAGTATGGTGGTTGTGCTAAAGGAGGAGGTTGAGAGGCTAAGGAGCATCTGAGAGAGTGAGCAGGTGACAGACTCATGGTGTAACTCTCTTTGAGACAGATACTAGGGTGATATTCACCATACAGTGGTGGGGAAGGATACTGAGAGGATCAGGAAAACCTACCTCAGAAAATGGATTAGAAGTTTGCACAAACACAAGAATCTTGGTTTTGTTGACCATGGGATAACTTATTCTGCACTTGGCATGATGGCTACAGATGAAATTCACCTGTTTCCAAGTGGTCAAAGGATCATAGCCCAGGAACCAGTGGGACTCATTGGAAGGTCTTCGAACTAGGTATGAAGGGGGAAGGGGACAAAATGAGGGCCACTGGGATTGAGTGGGTAGTTTAAGGGTTCACCCCAGACTTGATGTGTGAAGAGGGAGTAGTACAAAGGGATGGAGAAGGGCAGGGGGATGCTGCTGTTCTAGGAAATCCCAGATTCTCTAGAAGGGCGGTGAGACGGAAAGCCTGGCTGTAATGCCTTTATACCCATGCTGGGAAATAAGCAGGAAGAGTTGGAAACCATGAAATGCTTGGAAAGTTATGACCTTGTTCCTGTCACGAAAACATGGTGGGATGACTCTCATAACTGGAATACCACGATTGAGGGGTATCGGCTCTTTAGAAGGGATAGTCTAGGTAGGACGACTGGAGGAGTTGCCCTCTATGTCAGAGAGAGGGTAGACTGTGAGGAGCTCCTTCTGAGAAACAGTCAGGAACAGGTTGAGAGCCTGTGGGTTAGAATTAGGGATAGGACTAATAAAGCCCACCTGGTGATAGGGGTATACATACTACAGGCCACCTGATCAAGGGGAGCCTTTTGACAGGGCCTTCTTGCTTCAGCTGCAGGAGGCATCATGCTCACAGGCTCTGTTCCTGGTGGGGGACTCTCCTCATCTGTCAGTTATGTCTGTGATAGGGCAGGGGGTCAATCACTTTTCTGGGGGTATCTCCCTCACACCCTTCCCTCTGGCATGCCAGAGGGTCACTCCACCAGTCAACTTCCTATCACACTCCCTAATGGTCCTTTGCCTCTCCACCTCCTCCTTGAGCTCTACTACCATGCTGAGCAGCTTGTCCGCCTTCTCACACAGGTGGAATCCATGCTACCCTCCCCCAGCAGCAGCAGGCTCAGGCACTCCCTGTAGCTGGAGACCTGAACAGCCACATTTCTGTGCAAACCCTCTGTCTGGGTCACCAGAGTCTTCCTGGGGCAAGCCCACTGCCTGGTGGAGATGAGACCATGTTTAAACCCAGTGTCTCAGAGACTGCCAAGAGGAGAGCTGGTCTCCTGAGCAAAGAGGGGGTAGTACTTACATGTGTGGAGATGGGTCAAGCAGCAATACGTGCTGCTGCAGTACTGTATGGGCAGTGTGGGCTGTGCTCAAGCACTGATTCCTCCTTCCTGCTCTCAGTGGGCAGTGATGTGGTTTGCCTGCCCTGTGTGCTCTGTGGAAGCTAGCTTCCACCCTCCCTGAGGCCAACGGTCAGGGTAAAGGGTGGGTAGTGCCAGCTCCACCCCTGCTAGCTCAGTCAGCCCACAAGCTGCTAGCCTCCTGGCACAGCACTTCTGTTAGCTTCAAAAAGGTCCTAAAAAGTGCTTTTTTTGTTGGCCTTTTTCGCTTCAGATCTCTTGCCCAGTGCAGTCTTACCTCCCTGAAGCTGGTCTCTGCAGCAGTGACCACTGAAATGTTAGTAAGGTGTTTAAACTGTACTGCGAAAGTGCTGGCTCCACCCCTGCTAGCTCAGCAGCCCACCCACAAGCTGCCAGCCCCCGACACAGGGACAGCATTTTCGCTGGCTTTGTAGTAATGGATTTAATAGTTTTAAATGGATAAACTATACATATAAATCCAAAAATATTTACATAATAGTAAGTAAAAATCTTTTAAAGTCTTTCTGCAACAAAGCTAAGACTAAACTGTTTTTGCAATCATGATCCTGACTGTGCTTACACCACCCACAAAAAAATTCTTTTCAAATGCCCTTTCAATGTCTCTGCGTATTTAAATAAGCTTAAAAAAAAAAGCCACCAACACATACTTCATAATCTCTTCCTCATGGACAGAGGCAGTAATTTAAACTCTCCACTGGCATTCATAAGACTGCAATGTTTTAAATAGTACCTACTGCAAAGTTGACAGAATAGTATTGCCACAGCAAATTTTTTTTTTGTGTTCCTAGTAAATTTACTGTATATCTATTTGGTTCTCCAATTTTCGGCACATCTCATTTTATGAGTCCAAATACAAAACAAGAAAAATCACTTCAAGTACATTCCATGAGCAGCAATGAACTACCTGAAGTAGAGTTGAGATTTTCTTGTTTGATCACTAAAAAAGATTTTATTAAAAAAACACAAGAAAACAAAATATAACAAAAAATATACCTGCATACCATATAGGTGTTTCTTTGCTATTCCCAATATTTGATTTTTTTTTTTTAATAAAACCAGTTTCCACAGATACACAGATAAAGCTGAGCTACAGTTCTGGAAAAAGAAATTATACTCCTCAACGTTTAAGAAAAGTGAATAATCAAGGGGGTTTTTTGTTGGCTTGCTTTCTGGTAAGGACATTAATGGTCATTATTTTGAAAATAAGACTTAAGAAATATTCAAACTAAGAAAAAGTTGGCATACATTTAGTATTACAACTTAGCTATGCAGTAGAAGATGGAAATGTTATGAAGTCACCCTCTTCATTCAACTTCAAAACATTCAATTGAGTTAATTGAGTTAATATAGCTTTAAAATTAGAAACAGTGATAATATCAGCAACTTGAAGCAAAATGAAAAATTTCTATTTGGTCATCAATTTCCTTCAAGGTTTATCATTGATCGCAATTTCATCCAAAATATTGATTTTTTTTAACTTCATTGCAAGTAAATGAAACATATTTTCAGACAGAATTCACAACTGTATAGTAGCAAAGAAGGAACAAAAACTACATCCGGACATCACAGTAATCTACTCTGAGATAGAAACAGCAGATTCTTTATCAATATATCACTTCCACAAATACTATCATTAAGTACTTTATCAGCATTTGTAAGCAGCTATTTACAAAAAGCTATTGCTTTTTTTTTTAATTATTGCTTATATCAGTAAGCAAAATGAAAATAACTGTACCTGACTAGTAAATTGGGCATTAGTTACACTTCTGATCACAAGATTTGCCAAGGGCTTAATTTAACCAGAATTCAAGCCAGTCAACATTCCACATAATCCTGAAACTTTCAAACATGTTTGTTTATATAGATTATGATACCAGTGGAAACTATGATGAGTCAACTTGTTTTCAATATAGCAGAGCCAGCTGTTATAATCACTTAAATACAAAAATGGACAACACAGGTATTCCTTTTTTATTCTTGGGTGTTCTGGTTATGTTAGAAAATTTCTTAGTTCCATAGAACTGTCACATTTCAGTCCACTGTAAACTCAGACATTGGAATTTTTCATTCCATCTCATTATGCCAATTTATTATTTTGCAGTACAATTTTGATAAATTATTTGGAATGTGGAGAAAGTCACAGTCTTGACAACTGTACTTGGAAGAGTGGTATTTTTAAAGCTATACCTTTATTTTAAAGATGTGAAATATGGCCCTTTCGTTTTCCTAAGCAGATTTAAAAAAAAAAAAACATAATCATTTCGGGAGTAACCTATTGCTTTGAACTCCCAAAATTGTACTAATCAACATTTTAAGAGTGGAAATAGGAGTTTTACTTGAGAACTTATTTACAGAAAAAAGTTACAGTAGGATGGAAGCACAAATGTATTAACCAAGATGATGACAAATAGCAAAAAAAAAAAAAAAAAAAGACACATCACATGAGTGATCCTGGGGCAATGTAGATTCTTCACTAGTATTATCACTATAATGTAGTTATGCATTAAAAAAGAGTTTTTAAATAATTTGTGCCTGTGCTTAAATTAACATTTTAACAGATTACTAAGCACAGCTAAAAACAACTCCAAGCAAACAAGTTCACATCAAGCACTTCTTTTAACAAGATGACTGAGTGGCATAGCTGGTTAAAGCTGTGCTTTTCTTTATGGAACAAAGATACAGATAAAACAACGAATCAAGTGCAGAAATTAAGACATATGAACTTACCCTGAGAAGCTTTGTTTATGGTCAGTAGTTTTATATTAGTCCATTATTTATCATACCTAATATTCTAAATTTGCAAAAAGTGAAGGTGCTGCAAAGCAAGATAGCAAACTGCTTGTGAATCAGCAGAGAATAACAGTTTTCCCCTATCGGTATGAACAGAATTTAACTTCGTATAGATACTGTGCTTTACATATGAATATGAAAGAGGGAGGAAAGAGAGCAAGCAGTAAGAAGCATGTAATAAGCATAACAGTTCATGACTGCTGCTCTTTATCCACACTTTAGAAAAAGTCATCATAATAGATAACTTTCCATCTTCAACCAGAAAAAAAAAAAAATAAAGAAGTTCAGAGTTCAAGCACTTCTATGGCACAGCATGCAATACACCTTTTCTGTGAGAGGCATAATGACGGTTGCCTGTCTTTACAGGATTGTGAGAGAAGAATCAAATGTCCACGTTGTTACTGTGCTGGTAATGGAAAAAAAAATACTACTAAAATTAAATCTATAACTTCATTTAAACAAAATTCTTCTAATTCAAATTATTCTTTGTAAGCAAAAAGCCACACTGGTCATTCCTCTTCCTTAAAACTTTAAGTATAAATGTACTTACATTTTTACATTTATTTACATTTTTAGATTTATTTAGATTTATTTACTTTTTTAGATTTGTTTGCGTTTTTAAAAGATACTTACTGTTCTAAGAGTTGGTCATACTTTCTTAAAGCATCTCTTTCAGCAGTAACAGCTCTCTCTTTTTCAGCAACAGCATTGTCTCTTGCTTCTCTCAAATTTCTGAAGGAAACAGAAGCAATTCTGTCAATATTCAGTTAGATTATTTCATTTTATAGATTACTAATGACTGATCTTAACTTTAATACTACCTAATTCAATTTTAATAGAGCAATAGAAGGACATCTGTCTATATGCCTATTCATTATATTTCATTCATATCAACAACATTTCTCATTCTGAAATTCTAAGAACAATGATCAAAGTACCTATTTTTAATGCAGAAATGCATGAATAATTCAGAATACAAGAACTACAAATCAGGTGTTTTTTTTCCTGAGAATTAAATACATTCCAATAATTGGAATGTATTTATACACGTATATACGTATTTGCATTTACACTTGGTACTTCACTAAATCTATGCTGTCCTCCTAGGTGAGATGATTCAAAACTTTTATGATACAGCAGGAAGATTAGCTGAGCACAGAAACCCTACTCCCATACACAATTGGATAGTCAGTCATATTGGTTATTACATATTGTTGGTGTTTCTTTCTGCCTTCTGCTGCTGTTAAGACTTGCGAACTAACTCATTTTTATTTTACCTATACATATCAGAACAATATCACATGAACTAAGAATAATAAATATAATTCTTATATTAAAAATGATATAGGTATTAACAGTAGTAGTACAGTTTATTGCCACTTTATAAATGGCACTTAGTGCTTATAAGCTGTATTTTTGTTATTAAGTATTGTGATACAGCAATAACCACAGAACAGTTGTTGCTGAGGGTCTGATCTATGTTAAGAACATTTGCAAGGATTTTACTTGAAGATATCTACAGTTTGCTCCAGTGATGTGAACACCCTCTGGCATTTTGAATGTATTAGATGCCCTTACAGATTCCTTTCAGTTTGGCTTCATAAAAAAGGAATCCTGTTTATGGATGAGAGAACAATAACAAAATCTGCCTTTAAAATAGAATTATTAGGCTGCAAAATTTACCAGTGAAATTCAGTGATTCATTTTGAGACTAGACTATTTAAACTGGTTCTTGACAAATTGTAAGAATATGGTAGTTAATTCTCTTAACAGCAGTGACCATATTAAGTCTTAGAGCAGAAGTACAAAGTTGCAATCTTAAGACTAAAGGAAGAGAAGTGGGATGATAATTAAATGGTAGGTGCACAGTCGCTTGTTCAGAGAATACACTATTTTGCTTAACTGTTAATTTAAGCAAATGAAAATTATACAGAGAAAAAACAGCATGAGTAAAGTACTACTAAGCAACATGATGGCAATCACAGATGTGATGCAACTTCTGTTGAAATATTTGCAATAGAGCTAGGAAACACATTAGTGACACTGCCAGTTTACAGATCCCGACTATGTTTTTAGAAAAGGTAAAACATCTGACTGCTGTACGTATAGGCCACACTGAACATCATGTATCTGGCAAGCCAAGTGAAAATCTCTAAAACTGGACGGGACTACCTACATATTCATGAACAGGTGGTAAATGAGAAAAAGAGGTTTTGAAGCTTCTGAGGCAGAATTGGGCTGGTTTGAGCTGATGAGGCTCAAGAGGGCTGAATGCCTTTTAGTGTTTAGAGTCCATTATTTGGATTCTCAAAAAGTAACTCAGCTAGCAAATATTGAGATGATTTCTACACAAGCTGGTTAACTGGAAACAACCAGGAAACTTGGTTCAAACTTGGTTCAAACCAACAATTGCCATTTTATTGCACTTCTCACCCCAAAACTATGCTAGAGTGCATAAATTGGATTCTAGTCAGACTGAAGATCTGCTCACAGAGAGCACCTAACATGCTTAAAACCACTTAACTGTGTTTGACTTATGGGAACAGTCTATAGCTAATCCAGAGTAAAACCTTATGCAGCCAATCCAGGGCTCTGCAAATTCATTCATGCTTCCTAATGCAAACATCACCAATGATGACTGCAACTGAACAAATGAAACTGATCCCAAATAAGTTAAGGCTCTAAGTATCATCCTTTAATTGGATTCCCCTCCTCCTTACCCCTTATTTTAGCTTCTTGAACTGACTCATCCAAGTGTAAAACAACTATCAATAAATTCAAGGGAAACATCAGTTCTGTCAGGCTCAGCAAGTAGAAAGGAGTAAGAAGAGCAAAGTATTATATTAGCTCCATGCTTTCAGCTTGAAGATAAAACCAGCACCTTATTCTCAGTCACAGTCAATCAGCATCTCATCACATCACACAACTTCACTACGTACTGCTTTGCTTCCCATTTGGGCTTCCATCTGTCCCGCCTCTGAGGGGAACTTCAGACAGAAAAGCACTATCTTATGGTAGAATTTTTAATTATTTTATAGAAAGATCACAAACCAAGAATTATTTTTCCTGCAAAATATGAAGTAAAATCGAAGGGACTTACATTTCGGAAGTAATTATTTCAAAGTGAGGAAAACAGCTTCCACAAATTTATTCCAGATGCAAACAAAATAGCCTTTGATAGCTTTCTCAATGATACGCAGACCCTCATGAATTCTCCACAAACAGTCAAATTGCTCTTTGTAACTGAACATAGATTTGAATACAGGAAGTGGGTGGATGTGTGTGTTTGTTATATATAAATTTTACTAACACTTGCAAAACTACACAAGGATGTAATATTTTTAATTAGAACCTTTCAGTTGGCTAGAAGACAGACAGCAATAGTCACGTTCTTTTTATACTCTTCAGAGCAATAGCAAAGCTGCCTATTAGAAGAACAGATGCTGATGCTACAAATATCTTTTTACTCTAGTCATTTCCTCCTCTACACAAGACACTTTCAGGACATCTATGATGAGTTTATAAGAATTGTTAAGTGCTCTTCCCATTTTAAAGGAAGACAGGTGTCAAAAAACAAGCTAAGGAAGAACCGTACTATGAATAGTCTAAATCTCTATGGGGATCCCTGAAGGCTTACATATGCCTAATACTGCACATAATTCCATGGTATTTAACAAGAAAACACATTTAGAAAACTCAGCCTGTAGGTCTTTGTAGGATTAGGATATTCTTCAAAAGACGGTTTTATAATACTCTACAAGAAAATAATGCTTTTGTGAACAAAAATGCTGTAAGTCTCACACTGATTTTTAAAAGATGTCTTATTCGTCTCTCTAATATTTTCTGCATTACTTTCTACACCAATACCTTCCTTTCTGGTTTCAAGACCAGACTATGACAAAAAAAAAAAACAAACGCATTTTGTATGTATTAGTTAACACTATACAGCTGAATAAACTTCAAACCACTAATGTTTATCTAGAAGAATTTTAATAGGGTATTTTAATTGATGCTGTCAGTGTAAATCTGTTTATAATAAATATTCATATTAGCAGAACAGCATCATTAACATAAAAATCACTTCTTGTTAACATTTACAAGATTCACATCAATTTTAAAACAACTTCATTTCTCATTTAATACTGGTCAACTTTGATTATGCTTTAGCACAAAAACACTACTTGCAAGTTTCTGCCCTAATTTTGTTACTGCCACATCTTATCTACCTGTTTTCACGTTCATACATCTCTTTCGAAGTGCTTCGAAGTTGCTCAATTTCTTGATTTGTTTTCAATCTTATTTGTTCCAATTCCTCATGCAGTCTCTTCTCAAATTCTGTTTTATAGTGGTCCCTGCAAATAAACACGACAGAGGAATGTAAAATGAATTGTATGGCCAAAACATCAAAGCATCAGGTACAGCAGTACAAACGTATTTTACAGTTCAATATTTCAATTCTCACTTGTTTTCCTGCCAGTTTGCTTGGAATACGTACCAGCCTATATTGCTCTATAAATTTACTGAATATTTTACCAGGAATAACAACTTTTTGCAAACTGTAAAATATATAAGTAATTTGATATTGATTCATCATGCAATTTAACATTAACCATTCTTGTATAGGGTGGCAAAGAATTTCTGCAAGTGTTTATATTAATTAACCACTGAAAATGTTTTTAATTCCTCACTTAGCAAAATTTTCTAGCTTCTTCATCAATAGGAAGGGTAAGTTAACTTAGTAACTCAGAATACTTCCAAGCTACAACACGATATTGATGTTTACTATTTGCACGTCTCATCAGAGTGTGAATATCACAAGAAACTTTGAAGATTACATGCTGTAGACATTTGCGAAATAAAAGAAAAAAAAAACCAAAAAGTTTGAGTATTCATTCTGTCAATGCCACAAATAAATTACCTGAAATAAATATTTAAGTTTTTAAGCAGAAGACATTGAAAGACTCCAGATTACTTCATTTCAGATTAACATTGTCATCTTCCTTTTTTGTAAATTTGGAAGTTCACATGAGAATGGAGAAAATCCCATAAAGAATTGTTCTAACAAAACTATAAATGTACTGTAGGGTAGTGTGGTTAGGTTGTGGTTGTACTTGATGGTCTTGAAGATCTTTTCCAACGTGAGCAATGCTATGATTCTACTTAACAGCTAAAGGGATGTTAATTTAATATAGCATTCAGCTGCTATTCAAGAATAATCAATCCACAGTGAAGCCACTGTTAGACATTACAGGTCTGGAAATAGATATGCTTTTATTATATTTGTTATATTAAACATGCATTTACAACCATAAAATATTTTTGATTCTGGGATTTGCCGTATAGCTTGTACTTTTTAGAAACCACTACTTGAGTTCGCAAAAAACTCTTTTGCATTAAACAAAAGCCTGAAATCATTTACTTATTTTAGAATGCATGCTGTTCAAATTTTTGTGTTTGCTTTTTAATAAAACACAGAATTTCTGTTGACTTTTCAAGGTAAAAGTAAATATTTCTCCCTTCCTTCCTCAAGTGTACCACTCTTTAGCAAGGTATTTTATGAAGATCTTTGATACAATGAAATAGTTAGTGATCCAAAAAAAAACATACTGGAATGTAAGGTCCCCATTAGCAATTTTTTTTAGTTCTTCATTCACTGTACATTTCAGTACATACAAAATAAATGAATGGTGAAGGCCAGAACCTCAAGATACAGAATCAACTAGCATTATTTTCTTGGTACTTGGATGACAATTACTTGCTATTAGTATTACTACTTGCTACTACCATAGCTACTTACTATTTCTATAGGTGAAGAAATTAGACTTTCCCTCCTTTGGCAAGACTTTAAAGTCACCCTATAGCTGATAATTTCAGTACAGTGCTCTTAAATGCCCATTTAGAAAACAACGTCTTTTAGTAGTTACAGGAGAATCATATTTAGAACACATCAAATAAGTTTTACAAGGACACAAGATTTATAGATTTATACAAGTTCGCAGTTACACCTTGCGGTTCAAACAAAAGGATGCAACTGAAGGAAAGCTGAACTGGCTTCTCTTAAGCTCAAGAGGATGTTCATTTAATCAACTGGTGTTTGTCATTCTGCAGAGATCAGCTTTACGGCAAGTAAGCCTGCACTGGGGAAGAGATCTATAACAAAAAAAGGCCAACAAAAACCTCTTCTGGGTGCTTTTTGAAGCCAGATAAAGTGCTTCACTGAGATGAGGGCAGCAGGCAACTTGTGAGCAGGCTGCTGAGGTAGTGTGGGTTGAGCTTGCACTGCCCACCCTTGACCTCAGTTAGGCCCCCAAGTTATAAACAGACTCAGCTCAAACCATACAGGGCAAACACAAGGTGGTTGAAGTCACCTGTTTCAGAGCTGGCCCAGCTCTGTGCCAACTCACTCGGGAAACCAGGTCACCTATTGGCAGTCTGAAAGAAAACAAATTTAGCATAGTCTCCACTACACCACTAGATAGCTCACTCAAAAGAGACTGTGCCAACCCAGACGGAGGGCCTGCTCAGAGATGTGTCTGTTCAGGCCTCTGGTTGCAGTGGGTTTGCTGACGCAAGGGAAGGGCAGCAGGGAGACTGTGCTCAGGTGGAAGGTCAGCTCACAGTGGTGGCTCAAGGAGGAGTTGGAGAGACTAAGGAGCTTCAGGACATGTGAGCAGACTGATTGGTGGAGTAACTCCCTAGTGTGCCAGAGAGAAGGGCACTGGGGGTTGCCCCTGCCCTGTAGCGCTGAGGTAGGGGACAAAAAAGACAAGGAGGGTTGGAAGCAAGTCCCAATTTGGCATCAGGGGCAACCCTACGTCCTCCCTACTACCTATCTCGCTTTCCCAGGTGCCTCTCCATAACAGGTTTGAGGCCCTGGATCTTGAGGGAGGAGTAGAATCATAAAATAATGAAAACAGAGGTAATGAATAGTTGGCTTAGAGGCTGGTATCGAGGCAGGAACTTTGTTTTTTTTTTTTTTTTACTATGGGGCAGTTTACTCAGCCCCTGGCCTGTTGTCCGTGAATGGAACTCAGCTGTCTCAAAGGGTTAAACAGATTGTAGTGCAGGAGCTAGCAGGGCTTATTGAGAGAGTTTTAAACTAGCTAAGACGGGGGAAAAGGACAAAACAGGGCTCACCAGAGATGAACCTAAAGGAACAATGCTGGATCTGGGGGTGAGGCACATGTCCCAGCTGAAGTGCATCTACCAAAGCACACAGCATGGGCAACAAGTAGAAGGAGTTGGAAGCAATTGTAATTAGCAGCAGGCTAATTATGACCTCGTTGCTATTAATGAAACATGGTGGGACCACTCCCATGACTGTGATGGATGGTTAAAAACTCTCCAGAAGAGACAGACAAGGAAGGAAGGGTGGTTGTGTGGACCTTTTCTGTTAAAGAGTGTTTTGATCTTAAAGAGCTTGGTGTTGAGAATGATAAAGTTGAGTGTCCATGGATATGGATCAGGAGGAAGGCCTGCAGGGGCGACATCTTGGTGGGGGTCTGTTATAGACCGCCTAATCAGGATGAAGAGAAGGACGAGGCATTCTATGAGCAGCTTGCCGAAGTTGTGCAACCCCCAGTACTCATTCTCATGGGGAACTTCAACTTCACTGACATATGTTAGAAATATAATAAAGTGCAGAGGAAGCAGTCCAGGAAGTTTCTAGAGTGTGTGGGAGATAGCTTCCTTACACAGCTGGTATGAGAGCCTACCAGGGGTAGAGCCCTGCTAGACCTGCTCTTCACTAATAGAGAATGACTGGCGGGAGCTGTGAAGGCTGGGGACTGTCTTGGACAGAGCGACCATAAAATTACAGACGTTGCTATTCTTGGAGATGTCAGAGGGGTGACTGGTAGAACTGCTATCTTGAACTTCCAGAGGGTGGACTTTGACCTGTTCAGGATGCTTGTTGCAGGGGTCTCTTGGGAGTACCCTTAAGGGTAAAGGGGTCCAGGAAGCCCTGGATGCTCCTCAAGATGGAAATCTTAAAGGCACAAGAATAGGCTGTTCCTGAGTGCCGTAAGGCAAGCCATAGGGGAAGAAGACTGTTGTGGATGAGCTGGGAACTACTGTTGAGACTCTGTGAAAAAAGAGTCTACGTCTCAGAGGGTCTTAGGCTCTGCAAGAAGGAACAGGCTACTTGGGGAGACTACAAAAAAGTTGCTATGATATGCAGGGAGGAAGTTAGAACGGCAAAAGCCCAGCTTGAACTCAGATTGGCCACTGCAGTAAAAGAGAACAACAAATCCTTTTACAAATATATTAACAGTAAGAGAAGAACCAAGGAGAATTTCCATCCCTTACTTGATGCAGAAGCAAGTGTGACCACTGTGGAAAAGGAAGAGGCTGAGGTACTCAGCACTTTCTTTATATCTGCCTTTGACAGTCGCATCAGTTATCCTCAGGGCATTTTATGCCCTGACCCGGAAGTTTGGGATGGTTTGCAGAATATGCCCCTGATGATTCAGCTGGATAGTAAGAAAGCTCCTCCTCCATCTGGACTGTCACAAATCCATGGGACCAGACAGGCTACACCCTCAGGTGCTGAGAGAGCTGGCAGGGGTGATTGCCAAGCCACTATCCACCATCTGTCAGCACTCCTGGTTGTCTGGAGAGGTCCCAAAGGATTGGAGGCTTGCCAATGTGACTCCCATCTACAAGAAGGGTCATAAGGAGGATCTGGGGAACTACAGGCCCATCAGCCTGACCTTGGTACCAGGGAAAGTTATGGAGCAAATCACCTTGGGTGAGATCACATGGCACATGCGTGGCATCCAAAGGATCAGGCCCAGCCAGCATGGGTTCATGAAGGGCAGGTCGTGCTTGAGCAAACTCATCTCCTTCTATGACTGGGTGACCAGACTGGTAGATGAGGGAAATGCTGTTGATGTAGTCTACCTAGACTTTAGCAAAGCCTTTGACACAGTCTTTCACAGTATTCTCCTGGGGAAACTGGCTGCCCATGGCCAGGACAGGTATACCCTTCTTTGGGTAAGGAACTGGCTAGAGGGCCATGCCCAGAGGGTAGTAGTTAATGGAGTAAAGTCCAGCTGGCGACTCATTACAAGTGGTGTCCCTCAGAGGTTGGTACAGGGGCCCATCTTGTTTAATGTCTTTATTGATGACCTAGAAGAGGGGATTGAGCGTACCGTCAGCAAGTTTGCAGATGATGCCAAGTTGGGAGGTAGTGTCGATCTGCCTGAGGGCAGGGAGGCCCTTCAGAGGGATCTAGATAAGCTGGACTGCTGGGCTGAGGTGAATGAGATGAGGTTCAGCAAGTTCAAGTGCCGGGTCCTGGACTTTGGCCACAATAACCCCATGCAGCACTATAAGTTTGGGGCTGAGTAGCTGGATAACTGTGAAGAGGAAAGGGATCTGGGGGTGTCTCTTGCTGTCTTTAATAAAAACAAAAATGTCGAGGAGAGCTGGTTACTCTTCAAGGATGCCTTCCTGAGAGCACAAGAGCTCTCCATCCCTCTGAACAAAAAGCGGGCAGAGGAGGGAGGAAGCCGGCGTGGCTCGGTAAGGACCTGCTGGTCACACTGAGGGCGAAGGAAGGTGCGTACAAACTCTGGAAACAAGGGTGTGTCACCTGGGAAGAATACAGGGATGCTGTCCGGACTTGCAGATGTGGAATCAGGAAAGCCAAGGCGCAGGTGGAACTGAACTTGGCCAGGGACGTGAAAAACAATAGGAAGACTTTCTATAGGTACACTGGCCAGAAGAGACAGGCCAAAGCGAGTGTACCTCCTTTGGTAAATGTAAAAGGAGAACTGGCTTCAACTGGACGAAGAGAAGGCTGAGGTACTGAATGAGTTCTTTGCCTCAGTCTTCACTGGTGGCCAGGATTCCAGTATTTCTCACGTCCCTGAGCCCTGCATCCCTGAACCTCTGGGTAGGGACCGGGGGTGGTAAATCCCCCCCCAGTATGAGGACAGAGCAGGTCCGAGACCGCCTCATGAGACTGAATGTGTACAAGTCTATGGGGCCAGATGGTGTGCATCCCAGGGTTCTGGAGGAGCTGGCTGAGGTGGTTGCTGAGCTGCTCTCCATCATATTTGAAAAGTTGTGGCTGTCAGGTGAGGTCCCAGATGACTGGAGGAAGGGTCACAGTCACTCCCAGTTACAAGAAAGGGAGCAAGGAGGACCCCGGGAACTACAGGCCGGTGAGTCTCACCTCTGTGCCTGGGAAGATCATGGAGCAGATCCTCCTGAATGACGTGCTAGATCACATGAGGAATGAGTGTGTGATCCAGGACAGCCAGCACAGTGTCACTAGGGGAAGGTCATGCTTGACCAATATGGTGGCCTTCTATGATGGAGTGACAGCATCGGTGGACAAGGGAAAGGCGACCGATGTCATTTACCTGGACTTGAGCAAGGCCTTTCACATGGTCCCCCACCACATCTTTATCTCCTAACTGGAGGAATGTGGATTTGATGGATGGACCACTCGATGGATAAGAAACTGGTTGAAAGGCCGCAGGCAGAGGGTGGTCATCAATAGTTCTGTGTCCAGGTGGGGGCCAGTAACGAGTGGCCTCTCCCAGGGGTCTGTCTTGGGACCGGTGCTCTTTAACATCTTTATCAATGACACTGATGAAGGAATTGAGCACACCCTCAGCAAGTTTGCTGATGACACCAAGCTGAGTGGTGCAGTCGACACGGTTGAAGGAAGGGATGCCATTCACAGGGACCTCGAGAGGCTAGAAAGGTGGGCCAGGGTGAACCTGATGAGGTTCAACACGGCAAAGTGCAAAGTTTTGCTCTTGGGCCGGAGGAATCCCACGCATCCATACAGACTGGAAGGAGTGTTCTTTGAGAGCAGCCCTGCAGAGAAGGACCTGGGGGTCTTGATAGGTGAAAAACTTAACATGAGCCAGCAGTGTGCCCTTGCGGCTCGGAAGGCAAATGCTATCCTGGGCTCCATCAGGAGAGGGGTGGCCAGCAGGGACAGGGAGGTGATTGTTCCCCTCTACTCTGCTCTTGTGAGGCCCCATCTGGAATACTGCGTCCAAATGTGGAGCCCCCAGTACAAGAAAGACAGGGAGCTGTTGGAGAGGGTCCAGAGGAGGGCCACAAAGATGATCAGGGGACTGGAGCACCTCCCCTGTGAAGACAGGCTGAGGGAACTGGGCTTGTTCAGCCTGGAGAAAAGAAGGCTGTGGGGTGACCTCACTGCAGCCTTTCAGTACCTAAAGGGAGCCTACAGACAGGAGGGGAATCAACTCTTTGAAAGGGTTGATAACTGCAGGACAAGGGGAAATGGTTTTAAGTTGAGGGAGGGGAGATTTAGGTTGGACGTCAGGAGGAAATTCTTCAAAGAGAGAGTGGTGAGCTGCTGGAACAGGCTGCCCAGAGAGGTTGTGGATGCCCTGTCCTTCGAAGTGTTGAAGACCAGATTGGATGAGGCCCTCGGCAGCCTGGTCTAGCATTAGATGGGGAGGTTGGTGGCTCTGCATGTGTCAAGGGGGTTGGAGATTCATGATCCTTGAGGTCCCTTCCAACCCTGGCCTTTCTGTGATTCTGTGTTGGTTGATGCTGAGCTGAAGATGAGCCAGCAGTGTGCCCCGGTGGCCAAGAAAGCCAATGCCATCCTGGCCTGCATCAGAAATAGTGTGGCCAGCAGGAGCAGGGAGGTAATTATCCCCCCGTACTCAGCACTGGTGAGGCCACACCTCAAGTACTGTGTTCAGTTTTGAGCCCGTCAGCACAAGAAGGACATCGAGGCCCTGGAATGTGTTCAGAGAAGGGCAACGAAACTGGTGAGAGGTCTGGAGCACAGGTCTTACTGGGGAGCGGCTGAAAGAGCTGGGATTGTTCAGTCTGGAGAAGAGGAGGCTCAGGGGAGACCTCATTGCACTCTAAAACTGCCTGAAGGGAGGTTGCAGTGAGGAGGGAATTGGCCTCTTCTCCCAGGGCAACAAACAGGACCCGAGGAAAAGGCGACAAGTTGTGCCACAGGAGATTTAGATTAGATATAAGGAAAAACTTTTTCTTTGAAACAGTGGTCAAGTGCTGGAATGTCCTGCCCAGGGAGGTGGTCAAGTCATTGTCTCTGGCAGTGTTCAGCGGGCATCTGGATGAGGTGCTAAGAGATATGGTTTAGTAGCATAGTGGGTAGTAATGTTGATAGGAGGACAGCTGGATGAGATGATTTTGTAGGTTCTTTCCAACCTTGTGATTCTATGATTCTATATTCTATAATATTTTTTGATGTTCAAAAATGAAATATCAGGATATTGCTGACTATTAACAAAGTAAATATAGGCAAATATCTAATGTCATTTGGGGGTAAATTTTGAAGTGTTATTTATCATCTGTATGTAGGGAAATTACATGAATTTAATAACTGTGAATTCTGAGTAAGAAAAAACTTCATATGATTAGAAATTCTGTTGTATGGCGCTATACATGAAGCAAGACATTGCTAAATAATGTAGAATTTTCTACTTGACATTGTACGCATAGACCTACAGCAATTGAAATAACACAAAAACTTGACAGTGTTTACTATTGTGGCTAGCAGACAATGACCAATTTGTTTCTCAAGTCTACTGTTAGAGTATCTGCATTCAAACTTGAGATATGAATGATAGAGAGCTGATACAAAACATACCACGTCCAATTTTACTTGTTTATGAAAATATTTTATTCTCCAAATTAGATTATCTTTCACATACTCCTAGTTTTAGTAAGACTCATTTGGGGAAAAAAAAGAGGTGCACAGGCACTTAGAATCACTTTTCTCTATTTTGCAATTAAAGTTACCTTAGTAAATCATTATCTACACAGAAGAATACAGATATTTTCAGTGCTATGGAGTCTCATATCAAATTTTTAAGAAATAAATAGTTGATAAACCAAGAAAAGTTATTTTTCCGGTTACATTAATATGGAGCCAATACACAACTTTTGGAAGCTGAAAAATTTTAAAGTTTGTTTGAGAAACAAGGCAAAACAGTTAAACATATTTGACTACTGATAGAACTGAACACAGAACTTACCTGGATGCAACATATTTTTCATACATTTCTTCTCTAGCTTTTTTGGCATCCTCCAACTGAATCTGAAGCCTTTCAAGACGATCTTCTTCATGTGCACGGCGAACACTAAGCTCCATGTTCTGGCGATTAAGGTAATCTTTATCTTTTTGCAAGAGGTTGAGGGATTGTTGTATGGTTGCTAGCTATAAATTAAAAATAACACAGTAACATGAACTTAAAGATAAATATATAACCAACATACATATACATACTTTTTCATTTTAATTCTCTTTTGTAAATCCATTGAACTGAAAAAAACTATACTATAATTACAGTCAACGTAAGTTGAAATCCAGTGCTGAAAAAAGACTTCAATAAAATTGATTTTATGAATTTTCATGATTGATTTCTCATAGTTGTCCCCTGAAAAGATGTGAAATGTCGTTTAATATTCCTGAGTATCTACTAACAGTGAGGTATTAAGCAGTGATAGCACTAAATCATAAATTACGGATACTGACTTTGAGTGTTGGTGTGAATCCACAGTCATACTGGCTACAACACTCTCAAAATTTCTCCTCCTCTGGAATACCTGCTGTGTAAACACAATTGTATACTCCCCTGGTGTTTCCTGGGAAGATTTCTGTACAGAAACCCAGCTTAAAAACTGGTCTTGTTTGTGCATGGAAGTTGCACTGAGTTGCATTAAACCATCCAAAAATTAGACAACTGTAATAGAAATCAAATAACTTCTTTCTTGAGATTCAGTAAAAACTCTCTCACTCCAGAAAAGCTTTTGTAAAGTTACACCTACCTCAGATAAAAATAAAAATTAGTGATGCAGAGAGTTTTAGATGATTCACTCCTAACTAGCTTAAGATGAAAAACTAATCCTGGAGGTTTAGTGAAGAAGTCTTCCCTATAAACAATTCAGATGCAGAAATAGCGATAATGGATACTGAGTAATGGAAGCTTGTACTAGAATAAACTATCAAAATCCCATAGATCAAGATAGCGGATTTGGAAACATTGCAAATGTGTCTGAGTCCTTTGAATCAGAAGCGCTCAAGAGGAAGCCATCACTTGAACCACTGACTGCTGAATAAATGAGGCGACAAACAAGACAATTACAAAAAATAGGAAGTTTAATGTTTACCTCCTTTGATAAATCATTTCTTTCTTTAGCTTGTGCTTTATGTGACATCTCCAGTATTTCGTATTTTCTTCTGAGTTCTGACAATTCATGTTCAAATACATCTCGTTCACTGTGAAAATAAGGTAAAATGTGTAAGATGTAATGAATAAGAATCTTCTTCATTCTTAATTTCTCTGGCTTATTTCAGTTCAAGGCAATGAATTCCACCACTAATGATAATCCTTCTTAGTTACTAGCTCTTGCAATTGAATCACATTATAGGAAAGAATTTTCTTACGTATTTAAACAATAATCCTTAATTACAGTACAGTAATTCTATAATTAAATAATCTATCCTGAATTATTTCATTCACTTCTGATTATTTTTCTTTATTGTAATTTTGGGTTATTCAGTTCTCCAATTAGCAATGAGTTTTAAGCACTCTTACCTAACCTTTCAGTTTTGTCAAGTTTTTAATGCTATTTTCTATGACATTCTCTTGAATCTTTTGTAGACATGGAATTTGCATGAAGATATTTGTCTGATTAGACCCTAGTCTTCATCCTACTCAGACATCTTCCTAACCAGACAGAAAGCGAAGTAGAATTGTTGTCATCTTCTTCTTGCCCTTGTACACAGTCACTTGATGCCAGTGAGAGTTATACTGTTCTTCTCATGTTAAAAATTCATATAACACACTTGCAAAGTTTATGCTGTGACCTCAATATGGTGATTTCCTTATGTACAAAGAAGCAGCTTTATGTCACCACTGTATCTTATCCTGTCAGCACAGTGGAATGAATGAGCCTGCATAAGCCTGCAGTTTGGAAAAAAAAATCTCACCAGCTTTATATTACACATAGCATATAGTTTTAAAACTAAGATAACTTGTAGTACACAAGGACCAGAAGATTTAACAGAGAATTTTTAAAGGCAGAAATGAGTCTGGAAGTTATTAACTCCTGCAATGCTCCCAAATATCCTGATGCAGGCATCCCAATAATGCTCTACCCCTCCCCTTCGTCTGTGCCTACCTAGATGAATACAGCCTACTCTCTCAAATACAGGTCTGGAACATTCATTCATGCCTTTTTCAACTCAAGACTTATTTTAAATGTACACTGTTAAACACTGGGTCCTTTCACAAGAAAGTTATTACAATTCACTTAATAAGATGCAGTTGCACACAGGAAGCAAACCATAGCATCAATCCATCCTATTTGCAATGAGCTTCCAGGTAGATTCCATGGTTATTTTAGTATATATGGCTGTGAACAGTTATCCAGAAAACAGACTCTCTTTCAGATGGGTTCGTGGCACAGTCATTTGTTTCAGTAACAGTAATTGATCTTATTCAACATGAATAAGGAACTGACAGAGTGTTTTCTATTCACCAATCTCATTTTTGAATCCATTTCCCAACAAATCTACCAAGGGCCAGATTTCATGTAAGTACACTGAAAAAGCCATCAGGGAGCTGGACTGTGAAGTACATGTCTATGAGAATATTTATAAGAAGTCCATTTTCACGCTTTTGCTTATGATGTGGGCATTCAAAGCACAGGAAAGAACTCATTTTTTTTAAACGAAGAGAGACACTTGAAAGTTATCCTAAGATTCTCTAGCAAGAAGAATTTTAGAATCTGACCTATAAAAATCCTTTAACATGTTTAACAACCATAAATCTTAACCCTTAAGTTTTCAAACGTGAATTTTCAAGGTTCTACTCTCTATTTACTGTGCAATTACACTGCAGTTAAGCACCGGGCCTTTTATTAAATGACAGCTTTTAAACTCTGAAAAAAATATATCAGTTTTAAAATGTTTAATATCAACAGCTCCTACGTCTTTAGATGCAATGCAACTGGCAGGCTCTTCTGAAAATACAGTAAATTGATGAATGTAAGCTTTTAGATTGAAGATGTAGGCCTTAATTTGATGCATCAGATTCTGTAGTGTTTTTCATTTTATTCTACAAGAGACAATTAAGTCATTAGTGGATAGAAGTAAGAAAAATGAGGTGCATTTGAACAAAAAAAAGATCGTGAAATGGAACTTCAATCCTGACTGACAAAACTAGAGTTATCTATTAATATTTCTATGTTAGTAGAAAACTTTTAGAGATACCTACCATTTTACTTTATCGTAGTTCTCTTGTCTGTAATCACCTTGTTGAATCATCCGCTTGGTATCAACCAGTTCCAGTGTTAAGCGTTGGCATTTAACCTCAAGTTCTGACCGACTTTGCCTCTCGTTTTCATAGTTCTAGAAGGCAAATTTTAAAATGACCACAGTTAACATTGATAATTACTTAAAACATTCACGGACTGAAAGTTGAGAAGTCCACTTACAAATATTGAGATGGTACTATTTCCATTTTTCTAAGTATTTGGACGTCTAGCAGATAGTTGATTAATATACCTATTTTTTCCTAACAATTCCTAAGGCTTTTGTCCACTATCCCACCTTTATAGCGCACTAGTAGCCTTCATATACAGTACAGGTTTGTACACTATGTGCTGTTATGGGACAGAAGTCATACTACTATTAAAACATTTTAAAGCCAGTATGCTTGTGAAGATACGTGCTGGTCTATTTGAAAAAGAAGAAAGACATTTGATGATTCAGAAACTTCCAGAAAAACAAAAAATCAGCCAATTTAAATTTAATCTGGTATATTTGTATGTCAATCATAGATATGGTGGAAGAAAAAAAAATGGGGAAAAAAAAAAGAAGGGGGAAAAAAAAGTGCTTATTTACAGGTATTCCACTCCCACAGTAATTCATTGTCCCCTTTTAACTCTGTAGATATCTTAAGACACTGTTATGGCAACTAGAAAATTGGGTCCAAGAGAACACACAGAAAAAAAAACTTCTAAAACGCTGGCTATCCCTTATGGAGATTCCTTAACCATTGTACTTTAAGAATCATAGAATCACAGAATCACCAAGGTTGGAAAAGACCTATAAGATCATCCAGTCCAACCATCCACTGATGCCAGTAATTCTTATTAAACCACGTCCCTCAACACAACATCCAAACGTTCTTTGAACACCTCCAGGGTCGGTGACTCCACCACCTCCCTTGGCAGCCCATTCCACTGCTGGACCACTCTTTCAGAAAAGAAGTATTTCCTAACATGCAGCCTAAAATCTCCCGTGGCACAGCTTGAAGCCATTCCTTCTAGTCCTATCACCAGTTATACGGGAGAAGAGGCAGACCCCCAGCTCACTACAACCTTCCTTAAGGTAGTTAAAGAGAGCAATAAGGTCTCCCCTGAGCCTCCTCTTCTCCAGACTGAACAATCCCAGCTCCTTCAGCCGCTCCTCATGAGGCCTGTGCTCCAGATCCCTCACGAGCCCTTCTCTGAACACACTCCAAGGCCTCAATGTCTTTCTTGCAGTGAGGCGCTCAAAATTGAACACAGCACTCAAAGTGCGGCCTCACCAGTGCTGAGTACTGGGGAACAATTACTTGTCTGTTCCTGCTAGCCATGCTATTTCTGATGCAAGCCAGGATGCCATTGGCCTTCTTGGCCGCCTGGGCACATTGCTGGCTCATCTTCAGCCCAGCATCAACCAACACCCCCAGGTCCATTTCCTCTTCACAGTTATCCAGCCACTCCCCCCCAAGCCTATAGCACTGCCTGGCGTTGTTGTGGCCAAAGTGCAGGACCCGGCACTTGTTGAAGCTCATCCCATTGGCTTCAGCCCAGCTATCCAGCCTGTCCAGATCCCTCTGAAGGGCCTCACTACCCCAGGCAGATGGATACTTCCAGCCAACTTGGTGTCATCTGCAAACTTACTGAGCATGTACTCAATGCCCTCATCCAGGTCATCAATAAAGATATTGAAGAGGACAGGCCCCAGCACTGACCCCTGGAGAATACCACTCGTGACCAGTCGCCAGCTGCATTTAACTCTATTCACAACCACTCTCTGGGCTCAGCCCTGAGCTAGTTCCTTATCCAGCCAAGAGGTCCAAGCCATGGGCTGCCAGCTTCTGCAGGAGAATACTGAGGCAGACATTGTGGGAGGCTGAGGGCAGATCACATCAACAGCCTTTCCCTCACTATCCAGGTGGGTCACTCCATCATAAGAGATCAGGTTGGTCAAGCAGGCCCTGCGCTTCATAAATCCATGCCGGCTGGGCTTGATCCCCTGGTTGCCTCACACATACTGTGTAATCTCACTCAAGATGATTCCATAACCATTCCTGGCACCGAGATCAGGCTGACAAGCTGTAGGACCCCAGATCCTCCTTACAATCCTTCTTGTAGAAGAGTCACATCGGCAAGTCTCCTGTCTTCTGGGACATCCCCAGCTGACCAGGAATGCTGATGGATGATGGAAAGCGGCTTGGCTATCATCTCCACCAGTTCCTTCAGCAGTCTCAGATGGATCTCATCCAGACCAATGGACTTGTGGCAGTCCACATGGAATAGTAGGCCTCTGACTGTTTCCTCCTGAATCATGGGGGATTTATTCCTCTCTCCATCCGAGACTTCCAGGTCAGAGAGTTCTGGGCCCTTTGCCCAGACTCATTTGCACATAACTCAGCCCAGCCATACATGGCAATGGAATTGATAGATTTAGTACAGCGATTTCAGCAGAAGCCTAGAGAAAATGTGCCAGCTTGGTTGGACTGTGGGATTCTGGAGCAGAAAGCGTTATGGTGAATGGCCCGGAAATATATATCCAAGTTGGCCACCTTGACTGTCCATCCTGCCCTCAGGCAGAGGTTATATGTGGGTATTCAATATCTTAATGAAAACCATTCTATAATGGCGGTTAATGGCAGCCTTCCGTATGGTATGGCCCAATAAATCTGATATACCTCTACGTACAGGGATGTGGTCCTCCATGGAAGACCTTCAAAATTATATCCACGAACTAGGCATAAGGGAAGCAATTTATGAAGTTACATGTGATGGCCCTGATATGGTCAAATTCTCAGTGGGCATGAGACTTGATTCTACAGCAAGCCCCCTCTCATCTATATGGCACTTTGGTCTCTATATTAAATTCCCTGGTGGCCTCAGAAGCGGTAGTCCAGCAGGCTGCCCAGTTAGTGGCTGACCTAGAAGAAACAGAACGTCTGCGGACTAGGTGCAACATTTGGACATTAGAAGAAGCCAAGGTCATGCCAGTGATTAAAACCAAGAGGCCAGCTACTCGAGCTCCTCAATCTGGACCCATAAGGGTTTCCCGAAAACAAATGTTTAATGACTTAATTTGGGCTGGGGTCCAATTTGCTAAGATTCATTGCCAACCCTGGAAACAACTAAAGGACAATCAAAAACTTCGGAACTACCCAAGAAACATCAGGTGAGAGTTATAAATAGGCTACTTTATAATCCCTAATAGGAAAAAAAAGCCTCCTCAGGTGTCTTGGGCCACGATGCCTGAGCCACCAGAGGCAAAAGAATTGGCCACCACAATTCATGGCATGACAAGGGATGTTAGTCCTCCTAGGGCCTCCAGACAGGACTGGAGGCCCTATGTAGAATTAACGATTTATTGGTCCTGAAAAAATACTCAGAGAGTTATGGCGTTAGTGGACACTGGAACACAAACATCAATTATTTACGGAGATCCGAGTAAATGTGATGGAGACAGAGTGATGATTGGTGGTTTTGGAGGACAGACTATTCCTGTCACCCAAACGGTTGAAACTCCTACCCCGGGAGTATAACGTGTCTATTGCCTCAGTCTAGGAATACATCCTGGGCATAGATATTATATGGGGTCTGGCTCTCCAGACAACTATGGGAGAGTTCAGACTTCAACAGAGATGTATCAGAATCTGGGCAGTGCAGGCAATATTAAGAGACCATGTGAAACATGGGCCTATTTGCCTGCCAAAACCGTGCCGGATTATTAACGTAAGAACTATAGGTTCCCGAGAAGACAAGATGAAATATCAAGAACGGTGCAGGAATTAGAAGAAGTGAGCATTACAAGACCTGCACATACATAATTCCCCCCATATGGCCAGTGCGAAAGTCAAATGGCACGTGGAGAATGACAGTGGATTATAGAGAATTAAATAAGGTCATGCCTCCTATTCATCCAGCTGTACCCAATATTGCCTCCCTAATGGACACATTGAATAGGGAGATAAAAACCTATCATTGTGTCCTAAATTTAGCAAATGCGTTCTTCAGTATCCCAATTGCTGAAGAATTGCAAGATCAGTTTGCATTTACGTGGGGAGGCAAGCAGTGGACCTTTCAGGTCCTGCCACAAGGGTACGTGCATTCGCTGACATATTGTCATAATATAGTGGCACGTGACGTGGCTAAATGGAAAAAAAAATGATGATGTTAACTTACATCATTATACTCATGATCTGTTGACATCAGACTCACTGGAGGCAGTAGGGCAGGCAGCAGATTCATTAACTGCCTATTTGTAACAGAGAGGATGGGCTATAAATCCCCAAAAGATGCAAGGTCTGGGCCTGTCTGTAAAATTTCTAGGGGTGGTTTGGTCAGGAAAGACCAAAGTTCTACCCAGTGCTGTCATAGGTAAGGTCCAGGCATTCCCAGTCCCTACAACACCAAAGCAGCTGCAATAATTTTTAGGTATATTGGGATACTGGTGTTCCTTTATACCTTACTTAGCACAACTGCTAAGGCCACTGCACAGACTCACAAAAAAGGGGCAGCTATGGGACTGGGGGAAAACAGAACAGGACACTTTCCAACAGGCAAAACTGGCAGTTAAACAAGCCCAGGCATTGGGTATATCTTACCCTCCCAGCTGAGCTGGACGTTCATATCAATCAAGACAGCTTTGGTTGGAGCCTGTGGCAACACTAGAATTCTGTTCGGACCCCCATTGGTTTCTGGTCTCAAGTCTGGCATGGAGCAGAAGAAAGATACAGGATGACTGACAAACAGTTACTGGCTGCCTACTCTGCATTACAGGCAGCAAAGCTGATAACTCAAATGGATGAAATCATAGTTAAGACCACTCTGCCAATTCAGGGGTGGGTGAAAAATCTGACCCACCTTCCTAAGACAGGGGTGGCCCAAGCACAAACAGTGGCACAATGGGTCACCTGTCTCAGCCAAAGAAGCAGGCTGTCTTCATCACCATTAAAAGAAGAACTTCAGAAGATCCTAGGCCCAGTGACATATCATGGTGATGCACCAAAAGAAACATTGGTCGCTCCATCAGAGAAGAGTCCTGTTCAAGAGGGGCAGTAGCCTATCCCTGAAGATGCCTGGTACACAGATGGGTCCAGTAAGGGCAACCCA